CACGTGGTATTATCGCGTGTCACTATTGGGCGTGGTTTTATGGGTCGTGTGGCTTTTAAGTTAATTTAATTACATTTTTTCATTACTTCCTTCATCGTCCACGAATTCCCCCCCCCCTTCCTCCCTTCCTCCCCACGGTCTACCGCCGTGAATTACACGCGACGATAAACATCTCAAGATTATTCTCGCTTATCGAGGATACAGGACGGGCACGCTTCGGCTATGGAGTTGATTGTCCGGAGAGTGTTGCTATTGACTTAACGTGGTTGAACTATGATCAAAATGTTTATTTGGTGTAATTGTTGGACTGCTTGTAATACGCAGAAGGGTGATACGGTCACGATCGACTTATGGAAAGTCGTTGATGAATTTTGAGACTGGTGGTATGTATACTGGATGCGAGTACGACTGAGACGGATTCGTATAAGCTTTTTCGAGTGAGAGAGAAATGTATATATACATATATGTATATAGTAAGAAGCACTAAAAATTATCATAGGCTGCCGTGGTCCCTTGGGGACGTAAGTACGATATCAGTGTAAATACTGAAGTTAACTGTATTACTTCCGGTTACGTGGGAGAGTACGTATCGTTAAGAAAAAAAAAAAAAAAAAAAAAAAAAAAAAAAAAGTACGATATCAGTGTAAATACTGAAGTTAACTGTATTACTTCCGGTTACGTGGGAGAGTACGTATCGTTAAGAAAAAAAAAAAAAAAAAAAAGAAAAAAAAAAAGGATTATTAAATCTCAGTGATTTTGGTATTCCTTTTTCTTGAGCTCTATTAAAGACTTCGAGTTTCTTTGTAATCCAGCCGCAAGAAGAAGACTTCTTTGTGCGCTCCGCGAAGTGGGTCACGCTTCCGCTTACCACGTCCACGGGGACCACCTATATATTACCACACCTCCACCATGGACAGTAAATAACCTAACGATCGCCACCATAAAACTTACGAAGAGCATTTGACTTGCGTTAACGTGATAAACGTGGGACGCGAGAGATTTTTCGGATTTTTACGAAAAGTTCAGGTTATTTTCGAGTGGCGCTTTAAAGAAAAAATGTAGCTGGAGTAAAAAGATTTAACGTTAAGATAACAGCGTTTTCTTCTTTTTTTT